GAGAATGGGAGAATGGGAGGAATGAGAGATGGAGAATGGGAGGATGGAGAATGGGAGGATGGGAGAAATGTGAGGATGGGAGACCTGAGAGAATGGGAGGATGGGAGGAAATGGGAGGATGGGAGAATGGGAAGGGATGGGAGAATGGGGAGGATGGGAGAGGGATTGGGAGATGGGAGGAAGGTGGAGATGACTGAAGAGAATGGGGAGAATTGGGAAGAGAATGATGGGGAGGGAAATGGGGAGAATGGGAGAGAGATGGGAGATGGAGAGGAATGCTGAGGAATGGGAGACTGAGAGAATGGGAGATGGGAGGATGGAGGATGGGAGGATGGGTGGATACGGGAGGATGGGAGGATGGGAGAGGGAGAAATTGGGAGAAATGAGAGACTGAGAGAATGAGGAAATGGGAGGATGGGAGAATGGGAGACAAGAAGGAGAATGAGAAAATGGGAGGAATGGAAGACATGTGAGGAGGATGGGAGAACTGAGAGAATGGGGGATGGAGGATGGGAATGGGAGAATGGGAGGATGGAGAATGGAGGAAAGGAGAACGAGGAGAGTGAGAGAAATTGGGAAGAATGGAGGATGGGAGAAAGGAAGGATGAGAGGAGGAATGGAAGGGGATGGGAGGATCTTGGGAGAATTGGAATGGGAGAACCTGGGAGAATGGGAGAAGGGAAGACTAGGAGATGGGGGGAGGATGAAAGGATGGGAGAACTGAGAATGAGAAAACAATGGGAGACAATGGGAGGATGGGAGACTAGGAGAATGGGAAGAGGAATGGGAAGGATGAGAAGCTGACGAAAAATGGGAGACGCTGGAGAATGGGAGGATGGGAAGGAATAGGAAGAATGGAGGATGGGAGACCTGGAGGAGAATGGGAAAAATGGAGAGAATGATGGGAGAATGAGAGGAGGATGGGAAGGAAGGGGAGAACTGGGGATAATGGGAGGGGGAAGAACGATAATGAGAAGACTGAGAGAATGGAGAATGAGAATGACTGGGAGAATGAGAGATGAGAGAATGGGAGAATGAGAGACTGAGAGAATGGGAGAATAAGTAGATACGATTATGTAAAAGAAAAAGATATAAAGTAAAACTGCTTGTGATTACGTCTCTATTCCCTGTTAATGTAATTCTTTGAATCATAGTGAAATACAGTGTAATGTATACGGGTTGTAGTTATGTTTTTTTATGATTCTTAGAATAGTGACAAAGGAAGGATTCATATTGTATTTTATTTCGATATTTTTTCAGGAGACTTGGGGATACGACTCTAAAATCAATTACGGAATGCACAACCCTTTATATCAATTTAAAAGATGAAAGAATAAGATATTAAAGTCTGGAAAATAAAACTCTCCAATGTCATTAATCACAGTCTACCGTTAAATTCATTGCAACGCAAAAAAAGAAAAAAAAAATGGCGGATGATAGATGACGTCACTTAAGATTTCCCGCGTTTTTTTTCGTACGGTGAGATGAATCACGGAGAGAAGTAATGAGGAAAAAGAAAAAGGAAAAAGAAAAAAAGAAAAGACAAAGGATACACTAAACAGAAAGAGAGAGAGAGAGAGAGAAAAAGAAATCTCTATTCAGAACAGCTGTTGTTCGAATCTTCAGAAGGAAACCGTAACTTTCAACTCGTAAAATGAGTGTTCGGTTCATGTAATAGGATTTCGAGAAAGAGGGCAATATTTGCCACCGTGACACGTTTCCCATTTTATCCGATTTTCTTCTTTCGTTCAGTCTCTCTCTCTGTCTCCACGGCAACGCGAGAGACGGCTAGTTGCGCTTATTTTATTATCATCTTTATTCTTAATCCACGTTTTGAAATACGTGGATAAGCGGCGATCCATTATTTTCACCGTAGTGACGTCACGACTGCGTTCCCATCAGCGAAATTTTTCCCGCGTTTTTTTATGTAATTACACGAATGTCAGTGCAATATCTAAATACCTAATCCGGTGTCCGACAAATTTTTTTTACCAATTGAGTTGCCTCTACAGCTCAAATGTCACGAGTTAAAATCACCGACTCGGAAATAATCGGAAATAATGCGCAGTTTTACAAAGCCATTGATGTTATCCGCCGCTGTTCGGTATTTTCACCGCGCGAAATCCTCCAAGTTTTAAGCTACGTTCGGCGTTAAGTTAATGTAGAGCGATTAAAAGTTTGGGTTTAATCAGGCATGAAAGCTTTTCGTTAATTAATGAGGCCGAAAAAATAGCGTGCGGTGATATTAACGTCATGATTCCATAACATGAAGTAGGAATTCGGGGTTATTTTCACCGCCTGGCCGAACTCCTGGTGATTAGAGTCTATTTATCTGTATGTATGTCGGGCATCATTGCTTTTCTATCTAACGAAATTACTTATATATCTCTGTCTCTCCGTATCTGCATCTGTCTTAAAGCTATATCTATAACTGTGATTAAATCTATTTATCTATCGATCTATCTATCTAAAATGTGGTTTACTCTTACTTCTCTCCCTCTTTCTCTTCCTATTCCTGTATATTGTTTATTTAGTTATTTCTATCTATCTAATTTTCTACTTATCAATCTACTTATTCATAGACTTATTTTCATTATTTGTTAGTTCATCTATTTATCATTATAATCTTATCTTTGTTTTATCTATTTATCTATCATTTTAAAACTGCATTCAAAAACACACGAAAACGCATTTAGTTAGAGCGTTCCAAGTTAGGGCGCGCTTCTTCTCAAAGTCCGACGAAGACAAATTAAGTCTTATTAAACTATGTTAATTATTTGGAAATTTTATTTTAGTTTCTGATTACCTCGCGAACTCCCGTCTATTAATTTTGTGTGTGTTGTTGTTTTTTTTTTCTTTTAGAATAAATATACATGATAATTATTCTAAGCTGTAACTTTATCTCCAGGACCTCTTAGAATTTTAGAATTTTAGAATGTTGATATACTTCTAAAGATGGTAATATTTAGTGGTTATGATAATAATACGGGACACAATACTACTGATGATAATAATAATAACAATAGTCATGATAGTAATACTGATAACGTTCCTACTACTAATACTACTATTATCACTACTACTACAACTACATTATCATCATTGTCATTCCAAATACTACTATTATCATTATTAACATTATAATCGTGAGTATTATCGTTATTAGTAATATCCTAATCACTGCGACTATCATCATTATAGATATCATCATTGCTATCTTTATTACCATTCTTTTTACTATTTTGAAAATGAGTTTTCGTTTTTCTACAAATATATACGTTATTTTTCGTTAATGACCATTGATAAAGTTTCTAAGAAAAATGAATTTGAAAATGATTTTAATCCCTTTTCTCATAGCCTCTCTCTTTCTTTCTCTCTCTTTTTCTTTCTCTCTCTTTCTCTTTCACTCTCTCTCTCTCTCTCTCTCTCTCTCTCTCTCTCTCTCTCTCTCTCTCTCTCTCTCTCTCTCTCTCTCTCTCTCTCTCTCTCTCTCTCTCTCCTCTCTCCTCTCTCCCTCTCTTCCTCCTCCCTCTCCTCCTCCCCTCCCTCCTTCCTTCCCTCCCTCCCTCCTTCCCTCCTTCCTCCTTCCCTCCCTCCCTCCTTCACTCCCTCCCTCCCTCCCTCTCTCCCTCTCTCCCCCTCTCCCCCCACCCCCCTCTTTCTCCCACTCCTCACCACGGATATAACAACATCTGAATCAACGTGGAAACAAACCACAAACCACAAACCACAAAGCCAGTCTGTTTCTCTAACGATATCAGAACGCAACGCGGGGAATTCCCTCGATAAATACCCGGGGAATTAATTGAATTATCGAAAGGAATATCCGATTTTAGGCTGGCGAGAGAGAGGAGGGGGGGGTTGGAATGCTGACGTCATGGGAGAGAGGGAGAGAGAGAGAGAGAGAGAGAGAAGGAGAGGGAAGAGAGAGAGATGGGAGAAGAGAGAGACGAGAGAGAGAAGAGAGAGGAGAGAGAGAGAGAGAAGAGAGAGAGAGAGAGAGAGAGAGAGGAGAGAGAGAGAGGAGAGAGAGAGAGAGAGAGAGAGAGAGAGAGAGAGAGAGAAGAGAGAGAGAGAGAGAGAGAGAGAGAGAGAGAGAGAGAGAGAGAGAGAGAGAGAGAGAGAGAGAGAGAGAGAGAGGAGAAGAGAGGAGAGAGAGAGAGAGAGAGAGAGAGAGAGAGAGAGAGAAGAGATTTGTATGTATTTTTTAAGCCGTCAATAATTCGACACAATATTTTGATATTTTGCATTTTCTAGTATTTTACTCAGAATTTTGGAAACTTTGGAATTCCTTTATTTTTTCTTTCTTTCTTTTTTTGGTAAGTAGGAGAAAATGAAATTGAGCGAAAATATATGCATCGACGTTTGACTTTGTCTTCTGAAAACAAATGATTAGAAAGACTGAAGTGAATATCGATTAGATTTGAGGCTTATTGGTTTTCCTATTATTTGCGTTACAGATTAAGGGGAATTAACAATTATTGGAGGTAAAGGCAAACTCTGTTACCTTCATTCCCTTCTTTATCTACTTATCTGTCTGTCTGTCTGTCTTCTGAAGCTCTGCCTATCCTCTATCCATCTATAGTCTTCTCTCTGTTTGTCTGTCTGTCTCCTAAAGTTCCCTGTACCCACTTTCTCTTATCTTCTTCTCTCTCTCTATCTCTCTCTATCTCTTTCGCTTTATCTCCCTCTCCCTATTTCTTTACCTCTCTTTATCACCCCTTCTTTCCCTCCCACTTCCTGAAGCTCCCTGTTCCCCTATCTCTTTATCTCCCCCTTATTCCCTCTATCTATCTATCTCTATCTATCTTCTATCTATCTATCTATCTATCTATCTATCTAATCTCTCTCTCTCTCTCTATCTATCTATCTATCTATTCTATTCTAGCTCTATCTATCTCTCTCTATCTATCTCCTATCTCTGTCTATCTATCTATCCCTCTCTTTATCCCCCCTTCTTCCCCCCCCCCCAAAAACCAAAAAAGGAAAACCCCCCCCACCTCCTGAAGCTCCCGGGGCCCTCTCTGACGGGGTTGGCGGCGGCGGCGGCGGCGGAGAGGGCGCTCAGCTCGTCCTGGGGAGAGAGATCATCCTGAAGGAGGTCGTGGAGGTTGACGCTCTTGTCGCTGAGGTCCTTCGGGCTGAGGTCCTGCGTCAGGGACAGCGGCCGGAGGTTTGACGAGCGCCCTGCTTCCTGCGGCAAACACCAGGCAGCCGGCAGCACGCCAAGCCAAGCGAGAAGTACAGTGCGCAGAACCACCATCACTGGAAGGAGAAGAGGGAAGGGGTGAGAGAGGGTGATAAAGAGAGGGAGAGAGAGAGAGAGAGAGAGAGAGAGAGACAGGTGGCGCAGAACCAATGAAGAGGGGAAGGAGAAGAGAGAGAGAGAGGGTGAGAGAGGGGTGATAAAGAGGGGGGAAGAGAGAAGAGGAGGGGGTGGAGGGGTAGATAAAGACGGGGCGGATGAAGAGAGGGGGATAAGAGAGAGGGGAGAGGAGGAGAGAGAAGAGAGGAGAGAGAGAGGAGGAGGATGAGAGAGAGAGAGAGAGAGATGTGAGAGGAGCTGAGAGAGAGAAGTACAGTGCGCAGAACCACCATCACTGGAAGGAGAAGAGGGAGGGGGTGAGAGAGGGTGAGAGAGGGAGAGGGATGACGAGGGTGAGGGGAAGAGGGAGGGAGGGAGGGTGGGAGAGAGAGAGGGAGAGAGAGAGAGGAGCGCAGAAACACCAGAACCACAGCACTGGAAGGAGAAGGAGAGAGGGAGAGGTGAGAGGAAAGAGGATGGAGAGGAAGAGAGGGATGAAAAGAAGCGGGGATGAAAGGAGGAGGGGGGGAGAGAGAGAGAGAGGGAGAAGAGGGGTAGAGAGGAGGGAGGAGAGCGAGAGAGAGAGAGAGAGAGAGAGAGAGAAGAGAGGAGAGAGAGAGAGAGAGAGAGAGAGAGAGAGAGAGAGAGAGAGAGAGAGAGAGAGAGAGACAGGTAGACAGACAGACAGGACAGATGATAGGTGCGCAGAATAACCATCACTGAAAAGGGGGGTGGGGAAAGAGGGAGTATATGAGAAAGACTGATAAAGAAGGTGTGGGGTAGAGAGGGGATAAAACAGACAGAGGACAGACAGACATAGATACGTAGATAGATAGATGATCAGAGAAGAAAACATAGATGAAAATAAAGTGAGAAAGGGGAGACAAAGAAAGAAAGAAAAAAGGAAAAATATAGAAATAAGTAAATAAATCTTTAACAGAAAGACATTCACATCTCTAATGTATGTATGTATGTGTATATTCCAAAACCAAGTGTAGGTATCCGTGTATGTATGTATATCACTATACCACACATCCACCCATACCCCACATACCACACGGGCCACAACGATACAATTTTTTTTTCTCCGATTACAGAAGTTGAAAAAGTGCAAAAACAATCAGACTCGTTTTTAAAACATATCCAATCCAGTCAACATCCTTTCCAAAACCACTTTTCCTGTGCTTCTCGCTGAATGAAGCAATCAAAATAGTAAGTAAATATGTCACGTGTGATCTGTGCAAAGATTTACTGCTTATAAGTATGCGTGTGTGTGCATAGATATGTGGATTGAAGAGAGGAGAGAGGGAGGGAGGGAGGGAGGTGGGAGGGAGGGAGGGAGGGAGAGAGGGAGGGAGGGAGGGGAGGGAGGGAGAGGGAGGGAGGGAGGGAGGGAGGGAGAGGGAGGAAGAGAGAGGGAGAGAAAGAGAGAGAGAGAGAGAGAGAGAGAGAGAGAGAGAGAGAGAGAGAGAGAGAGAGAGAGAGAGAGAGAGAGAGAGAGAGAGAGAGAGAGAGAGAGAGAGAGAGACGAGTTACACATACAGCATTGTGTGAGCATGTAATATTTATTTTTTTATTAATATATGTGTATACGTCCATCTGCAACCATATGTTTTCATACACGGATGTGCGTACATACATTTGTTTACATACATCTATACATACGTATACATACCCATACCTGAGCGCACAGAAATGCACATGTGTATTTTACGAACATGTCAATATGTATCACCTGGACGAGTGTTAATTGGCTCACTTCACTTGCAGCTGATTAACATGAACACTTTTTGGAATCTAATTTTTTTTTTTTTTTGCCCCGTGTACAGTGACGTGAAAAATGACCATTTAATGACCCTATTTCCCCTGTTACTGAATGCATTAACAGAACCATATATTTTTTTTCCGGAACGAAAACACATTTAGAGAGAAGGCAAAAAAAAAAAAAAAATTGTGGATTAGATTTTCTGTTCAACAAAGAATCATTTGTTGTGTTCGGTTTTAAAAGAATTTTGCGTGTCGTTTATAATGATTTTTTTTGCTCGTAATATTTCCCGTTCCTCCTTTTTTTTTTTATCAATTTCTATTTTTGTGATCTTCTACTTCTTTCTCCTCTTCCTCCTGTTTCTACTCCTTCTCCTCCTCCTTCTTCTTCTTCTTTCTCCTCCTCCTCCTCTCCTCGGCTTCTTTCTACTTCACCTCCCGCCTCATCCTTCTCTTCTTCTTCTCCCTTCTCTCCTTCTTCTTTGTCACTTTCCTCTCCTGCTCCTCCTTGCTCCTTTTCTTCTTCTTTCTCCTCGTGCCTCGCTCCTCCTCTCCTACTCCTCTCCTCCTCCTCTCTCTTTCTTCTTCTTCACCTGCTCTGCTTTCTACTGCCCACCTCCTCATCATTTCGTTGCTTCTCTCTTCTCTTCTCTTCTTCTGTCACTTCCTCTCCTCCTCTTCTTCTTCATCTTTCTCCTTCTTCTTCCTCCCTCTTTCTATTCCACTTCCTCCTCCTTCTCTTCTCATCTGCCTTCTTCTTGTGCATCTCTCCTCTCTGCTTCTACTCCTTCATTTGCCTCCTTCTTCTTCCTTCTTTCTCCTCCTCCTCCTGGCCTGCTTTCTTACTTCCCACCTCCACCCGCTGTACCTCCAATCTCCTTCTTCTCTTCTTTCTCCTTTCTTCTTCTTGGTCACTTCCTTCTCTCTCCTTCTCTTTCTTCTCTTTCTCCTCCTCTCCTCCTCTCCTCTTTCTACTCCACTCCTCATCTTCGTCTTCTTCCTCTCCTCCTCTCCTCCTCTCCTCCTCTCTCCTCCTCTCCTCCTCCTTCCTCCTCCTTCTTCTTGCACCCTCTCTCTCTTTTTACTTTATCCTCCGTTCTGTAATAAGTATAACCATCATCATCGTTATTGATAAAGACATGAATAAAAACTGATAAACTATTAAATTCCTATTTATCTTTTAATTGATCTATTTATCTATTTATCCTGTATGTTTTACGTATAGATACCAAGCAACATGATTTTCAACATTAATCGCAATGTTTATCGTGTGATTAATTTCTTATACTAATGATAATTGGATGAGTCATTAGCAACGTCATCATTAGCGTCATTATCGATCTCGTTAACGTCATCATTAGCGTCATTACTGATATTAGGTTTATCATCATGACTAATAGTCTATTGGTGGTTTTGTAATCATCATCATCACTATCATTATTATAATCGTAATCATCAGTACCCTTTTCGCAATCATCATCATCACTTTCATAATCATCATCACCATCGTCACTATCCTCATTATCATTATCTCAATCATTATCATCATTTCAATCATCATCATTATCATTATCACTATCATTACCACAGTCACTAACCCTATCATTATCATCACTATCATTATCAGCATCTCAATAATCATCATCACAGTCATCATCATCATTATCACTATCATCATCATTATTATCATCACAATCATCATCATCACTATTATCACCACAGTCATCATCCCTATCATTATCCTGACAATCATCATTATCAGCATCTCAATAATCATCATCATCACTGTCATCATCACAATCATTATCATCATATCAGTTATTATCATCATCATTATCATTATCACTCTCATTACCACAGTCATTATCCCTATCGGTATTATACATCATCATTATATCTCATCATTATCATCATCATCATCACTATTATTATCATCATATCAATTATTATCATCATCCCAATAATCATTATCATCATCACAATCATCAGCATCAGCATCATAACTATCATTATCATCATCATCATCTCCATCATCATCACTATCATCACCATCACAATCATCACCATCATTATCATCACTATAATTAGCACTCCCGTGATTACCTCCAACAGTTAAATTCACGCCCACGTTTTCCAATCCTTTTCCACAACATCTATCGAAGTAATAAGCACAACAGGACTAGAAAACATACAACATGAACACAGCGGTATATTGGAAAATGGGTATTGCTTTGTGGGTTTTCGTCCGTTGAATCTGGAAAAAAAGAAAAAAAGAAAAAATAGAGAGAGAGAAGAGGGGGGGGGGGGGGAGAGGAGAAGGGGGGGGAGAGAGAGAGAGAGAGGAGAGAGGGAGAGAGAGAGAGAGAGAGAGAGAGAGGAGAGAGAAAGAGAGGGAGAAGGAGGGGAGAGAGAGGAGGAGGGAGAGAGAGAGAGAGAGAGAGAGAGAGAGAGGAGAGAGAGAGAGGAGAGAGAGAGAGAGAGAGAGAGGGAGAGGGAGAAGAGAGAGAGAGAGAGGGAGAGGGAGAGAGAGAGAGAGAAGAGAGAGAGAGAAAGAGAGAGAGGAAAGGGAAAAGTTTCGATGTTCATAGATATTTTTTTTTAGGGGGGGGGGGGGAGGGAGACTGTCGGTTGTTATTCATTTATTCGTACACACGCACGGACACGCACATACGCACGCAAAATCATACACACATGTGCACACATATTAGTAATCTCACACTAATATATTTTTACTTCTTGTGAGATAAAAAAGAGGAAAAAAAAACGAAGAAATTAGTTTAAAAAAATGTATCATGATATAACATAACAATATTCGAAGTGATAACAATAACGATAATGATAATAAAGATAATAAAAACAATTATGATAATAAGGAAAATGGCAATACTGAAAAACTACTAATTACGTTTTCTAATTACATTCAAGGGGAAACTTCGCTAAATGAATGAACGTGTTTTATTTACACGATGGCCTTAGAAGATTGAGGTCTCTAAGGGCGATATTATCGAAGGAGGAGATATTAATTTCGCCTTATTGCTGGCGGAAGTAAAATGACACAGAGACAAACGAGTAACAGAGAAGTAAAAGAAGACAAGAGAAGAGAAGAGAAGAATGAAAAAGTCAAAGGTAAAAAGAGACAACGCCATTCACATACAAACTATAATAAAACTCAGACAAACACACAAACACAACACAA